CCCAAAACGGATGCTACACACTTGAAAATTTTTTACGAGCCTTGTTATGCTAGGGTTTGAGTCTTGGATGAGTTGGGGCCAAGAGTTGAAACTTTGAAGAGATTTGAAGCTCCGTTTCTTTGGTTCCTTTGTTTCTTTTCCATTATCTTCTTGTACTCTTGTAATGGCTATGAATATCTTGTGTATTTGTAGCTCTTTGATGTTTATGAGTAGCTAAGCTCTTTGCTCTAGAATTATTTTGAACCCTTGTATAGATTAACATTATATTCCTCCTCTCTTTTTGTAATTAATTATATATATGTATATGTTTATTTTACTCTTTTCTTAATGCTTTCAAGTGACCAGCCACCATTTAGATGTTAGGTTCACTTAATTGATGCTTGAGAGGGCTAAGATAGGTGTAAAACTTTGATAAAATTGTACAAGAACTTGATACTTGCATGTTAAATGGATGGTTTTACTAGTAAGATGGAAATATACTTGCAAGTTTTGTATAGCCACATTAGGGTTGGTGTTTAAAATTGAGTTTTATTAACTGTAATAAGAGATTGGGTAATTAATTTAACTAAACACTTATTCATAACTTGAGAGAACTTATTCAAGTATTTTTAGAGCCCTATGTTAGCACTTATTTTCATTAAAAACATTTATGAAAGAAGGTAATTTTGGTGTTATGAAATGCAAGGGTAAAAAATAATTTTAGGTCCCAATTTTTGTTTGAAGTTTGTGAATAAATTACTTTTCTTTATTTTCTAGTGTTAATTTAATTTACAAAATTATTTTTACATAATATGTGTGGCTCAACTTAATTAAATTAACTTCATCCTTTGTTTAATCATTGTTTTTGAACATATCCTCAAAGAAATAATAATTTACTTTCATTATATTACTTGCTATAACCTATGTACTTGTGTTAAGCAACAAGGACAAAGAAAGATTAATTGGTGGGGTAAATTTATGCATAATATAAACAGTGGTTTCAATAAATATAATTATATATATTGTTTGGACTAAAATATGAAACGTCGCTTGATAGGCTACAAAGCTATTTGGGTTGAATAATTAAAAAGTCAGACCTAATCCGAACAAAGGGGCTGACCCTGAGCTCAAAGGCCAAGATAGAATAAACATGCGAAAATCTCATCAGTTACAAACATTGAACCGTTGGCACATAAAGACATGATCCTAAGTGACTCTAAAATCTACGGACATCATGCTCAAGTATCTCGATGAGACCGGCTGATTATCAAAAATGGAGAACACTGAGTAAAGACTGTGTAATGAGTTTTGCGGGATTCCTGATTTTTTGGCAGAACATTCTAGGTCTTAAAGTAATAGCTACCACCACTTTGATACTATAAATAGAATACGAAGACAGAATAAGGACAGTCAACACTCAATCAAAGATTTGCATTCTACACTCATAGTTTTTCACTTTTACAGTCAATTTTACTTTTAAATTAGACTTATAATCCTTTTACGTTTCAAAAAAAAAATTAAAAACATTTGTTCTATCAAATCTTATATATCTTTTATATTTAAGTGAAGCTCAATATTTTTAACACGCCTAATATTTATTGTTTACATGACGAACATATATTAAATTAAAACTTATTACACAGTTAACAAAAAAAAAAAAGAAAAACAGCAGTAACTACTATGGCCTACGGGAAAAGGAGCAAAAATTGGATAGATGAATGGGGTACAAGTTGAAATTTTAGAAGGATTAAATGCAATTTTGACTTTTTGACGGGGCCAGGTGGACCCGTTTTTGGTTGGGGGGAACCCCACGGGCCACTTTGGATGGCACCATGTGAATGAGAATGAGAATGAGAATGAGAAGTATAACGATACCGTGTTCCAGATTCAGAGCATCATCCTGGCAGCCTTTCACAAATTGTTTACTACTTTGTTGACTTAGTCCCCTCTCTCGCACAAATTGTTCGCTACTTAGTTGACTTAGACCCCTCTCTCGTTGGAACCTGCCAGAAACCCACACAGCGGCTCTGCGACTCTGCGGATGAATTTGCTAGTCCAAAAGAATATAGTGCATTTTGATTTCAAATGATAAAATATATTATTTAAATCCTTTGAAATTCCAGGTCGAAAAAAAAATCCTTTGAAAATGAAATTCATGAATTTCATGAAATTTTTTAATAAAAAAAAAGATTGTATGTTTATAAAACTAATAAAATAAATGAGAATATTAAAAAACTTCATAAAATAAAAAAAATATGAATATCATCTCCACAAAATTTAAATTAAAAATTTGGAGCAATTTCGAAACATTGATCCACGTGCTTTTATCCCGCCGATAGAAAAGTAGAAAAGAGATAACTTTCCTGTCTTCTCCCTTTTCAATGCCAACGAGATAGCGATCGGCCTCGATCTATTTTCTCGAACGCAAGCTTTAATCATCGGACCAAAAAAACGTCAGCGTTAATTAAAAAGATTAGAAAAAAAAAAAAAATCCCTCCCACCGGGGCAACGCAGGATCATTTCGAATCTTTTTTAATTTAAATGTTAAAAGGAAGAAAATGGTTCTACAGCAGGACCAAAAAAAAGTGGGGTGAAATAAAAATGGATAAATTGAGCTAAAAAAAATATTGTGCTCAGAAAATATAGACCAAGTTTTAAAAATTAAAAAATATGACCGAGTCACATTGCTATATATGGGATTTATTATAGATAAGTAAGGAGCTTATTATTGAAAATTTACAAATCAATGATATATAATATTATATTATGAACAAATATAATACATTAATCATAATGTAAAATATAATAAATATTAAATTATTTGCTTGGTTTAATCCTATAGCATAGGCTACATACGCTAAAGTCTTAATAAAAATTACACAAATATATGGTTGCGTGATTTATTGGGCCTGGCGTCCTTATGCTTAAAAGATTATCGATCACAACATAATAAGCTAGTGCCCCTGGCTGAGCTAGTTTAGTTTAATTTGGACATCATGACTCAATTAATGTGTACAGATTAAAATTTTTCGTCCTCACCTGGGTTGCTTTGAACAGGCCCATCAAATTTGCTGAATAATACACGAGCTCTAAACACAGGCACGATAGCCTCTTCAGATTTATAATTTTATAGTACTCCATTGTCTTAATTTATAAGATATTTTTTAAAAAATTATGTATTCCAAAATATAAAATACTTTGACAAAAATAAATGATAATACTTTTTTAATATTACTCTTTTCATATATTTTCTCTTTTTAATATTTTTTCACAAAAGCAGTATAAATGAAGAGTATTTTTTAAAATTTATATTTTCATCTTGAAAAAATAAAGTTATAAAGTGTATTTAATAAACTTTATTTATATATATAATCTTATCTAGAAGTATTTTATAAATTGAGAAGGAGAGAGTATAATCTAAGACTCAAATTGAAATATATATATATATATATATAAAGATCGGCTTACTTGGGATCGAGTCTGCAAGATACGCACTGAGTTTTAAATGTTTAATTAATTAGCATTGCTAAAGACGACGAAAAAACTGAAGTTTTGAATTTTGATTGCTGTATACTCTCTATAATAAGGCGCAAGCCAGCACGGATAAAATAAATCGATAATAAATATAGGGCAGGATCAATTATTCAACTAATCTTCAAAAGAATGATAACCTAACTAGTGATATACTGGCATTAAATTTGGTAGGCTAAAATGGCAGCGATGTATGGAATTCATGAGAGGGCGCACGTAATTAACCAAACAACGTAGGACTTGGGTAAGATGCTGGCATGCTGCTCGTCAACTCTACAGACGCGTGGAAATTAGAAGCATGCCACTTTTGCTGAAGTGGGCCAGTCAACCTAAAACTAAATAAAAAAGTCATGAATTAATCATCCTATCTCTGGAACGTTCTCAACGGAAAACACAGACATAACCAAGGGCTGCTGGAGTCATGTTTCATATGTGCCGAAAACTAAAGGTTCGTCACTATCAAATATATATCATATAAAGAATAGGATAGATGTTTTTTTTTTTTGAGTTATTTCATGTTTTATAATATAAGATGTCTTAAAAATAATAATAAATTATTAATGATTTTTTAAATTATATCTTATTATTTTACTTCTTAAATATTTTCCCCCTCTCTTCGTTGTTAAATAGAAGATATTTTTTAAAAAATTAAAATTCCAAATGCTATTCACTTTAGGCTAAAGAATAGTTTGGTATTTTAATTTTACATAAGGTTTTAATTTAATCTCTTAATTATATAAAGTACTATATTTTTAATCATTTAACCCTAATATAGTTAGTTTGAACTGATTATTTTTTCTATTAATCATTATTATTTTAAAAAATTAAATTTAATAAGTCAACATTTGATAATGTTTTGTCAATATTTAAAAGTTTAATATAAAAAAATTTTGTGATGAAACTAAAAGTATTAAGATTAAAGGATTCTAATTCCTTATACGACTGTTAGTATTTTCTCTCTTTTTTAATCACTTATTTTGCCTTATGCTGTTTTTCTTCCACACAGTATTGTTTTTGAAAACTAGAATTTAAAGGGGGAGTTTACCTTGTAGCGCAGACAGCGGCTGGCAGTGACCCAGCGAGAGAATTTGGCACAAGTTGCAAAAATTGGCCACATTCACGATTCAACACCCTTTCTTCATTTCTTTTAATATTTTTTCAATCAGAAGTCTGACCCGGTAGCGTTTGCTGCAAACCAGTAGTTGACTTCCAGTAATATCAAAGATTGCTATTTTATTTGGAAACTTGTCCCGTATGCGTGTGAACTAAGTCAGAAGGTCAACCACAAGTGCCACAGTCAAAGTCTAAAACCCCAAAACATTCCAGTATAATTTAATTTAATCCTATAAAATCAATTAACAATTTCCGCGGGCTGCCGCAGTCCTGCACTTTACGGGCTTGTCCATTTCAAACCCTCAAGTGCATTTACTCCTAAATAATCATGCCACCCTCAGCTCATCCCTATATAATCATCCTTCTTTGACAATCCAAGCCAAAGCATTAACCTCCAAAACAGCTGCCTCTCCCTCGCTCTCTCTCAAGGGGTATATTACTATAGAGATATATATAATCTATGGAGCAGCAAGCGATTGATTATTGTAATATGAATGTCAAGTGCAAAGGCGTCGAGATGTCGAGAAGCATGTCAGATTGTGGGTCTTCAGGAAGCGAAGAAGAGATGGGAATCAGGAAAGGGCCATGGACAGAGGAAGAGGATACTATTCTGGCTAACTACATCTCCCTTCACGGCGAAGGCCACTGGAACTCCCTCGCTCGCGCCGCAGGCATGCATGCCCTCGTCCTCTTAAACCCTTGCTTCTTCCGCCTCTGTTCTCTCTGTTTTTTTTTTAACTGATCATATTGTGGATGCTGATATGCACGTACTGACAGGTCTGAAGCGAACGGGTAAGAGCTGCAGATTAAGATGGTTAAACTACCTGCGTCCTAATGTGCGGCGCGGCAATATCTCTCTCCAAGAACAGCTCTTAATTCTCGATCTCCATTCCCGATGGGGAAATAGGTACCTAGTTATAATATGATTTTGACTTCTTTAATTTCTATAATTTGTCTATAGAGATGCTGATATTTTTATTTGAAATGATGGAAAGATGGTCGAAAATAGCGCAAGAGTTGCCCGGCAGAACGGACAACGAGATAAAGAACTATTGGAGGACGCGAGTGGTGAAGCAGGCCAAACAAATGAAATGTGACGTGAACAGCAAACAGTTTAGAGACGCCCTGCGTTTCGTATGGATTCCTCGCTTGGTGGAACGAATCCAGGCCTCGTCATCTCGAACAGCATCGCCCTGCAGCCAGTACTGCTCCCGGCCGCTGCATCATGTGGAATCTACTTCTCTGTCTGATCATTCCATGGCCAGCGGGGACGACGATACCTCCTCTCGCACTCACTCTACAGAAACAAAAGAAGCCTGCAGCTCAGGGAATCGTCACTTGGAGTATCTGCCAGAGTTCCAGGCATTTGAAGAAGGCAATGCTGATCTGTGGACTTACGAGAACATATGCTTCTTGCAACAGCAGTTCGCGGACGACTCGTAGTTATATATTGATTTTTTTTTCCCCAAAATAAACTGCGATGCATGTGTAGCATCATTTGTCTATTTCTTCAACAATTACATTGACTGATCTTTTCTGACCCCTATCAACTAGCATAACGTACTGATACTGATCAAGAAATTAATTAATGCTGCGTGTATGTGGATGCACCGATTTGGAGTCTCTTCACTTTTTTTGTCCTCAATTTCCCTCCATTTCCCCTGTCCTCACTCTTTATTAATTTTATCATTTAAAAAATTATTTAATAAAATAATTTAAATGGTTAGGATTAAAAAAATGGAGGAAAAAAAATGGAGCATGCTTGTGTGGCAAAAGATTTGATTTCTGCGGTGCTCCGATTTTGGTATACATATCTTTTATTTCCCGACGTTCCCGTCAAGATTTCACATTATACTTCCTCCCATCTTTAATATAAAGACAAACTTAAAAAAAAAATTATTGTACTTAATATAAGATAATTAATATTCTTTTAATTTTACTCATGGTTCATTTATTATCATTTGAATTTATAGAGAACAATTTCTTATCGCGATTAATTGCAAAGAACAAAATTGTGATATTACATATTTTTTAAACAATTTTTAAAATATAACTATTATTCTTTAATAAATATAAGATTCATTAACTTTACCTTTAGGATGGAAAAGATAATATATATATATAAATATCTACTTGTCTAGAAGAGGAAGTGACACGAAAATTAACGTGATGGAGGGAGCCGAAGCATGTTTTTTTTTTTTTTTTTTTCACAAGAACGATAGTAATGAATGAAAAGTGAGACTGCTTCGAGAGCATATCGTGGGATAATTAATTAATACTCCCTACATTTATATAAAATATTTTTTAAAAACTTATTTTATTCTTAAATATAAAGGATGTTATAATATTTTTAAATAATGAAATAATTTTACTTATATTTTAAAAATAAAAGAGATATTAATTATAAACTTTACTCATTAAAACGTTAATATTAATTATATAATATTATTAGAAGCAAAAAACTGAACAATTATTATAATTTTATGTAATTTTAATTAAATAATATTTTTTTATTAATACGCATTAAAAATATTTTATATGTAAACGCGGTGGGAGTATGTGGTTAAAATTCAATGGGTTTCTCATTGGGAGCACTAATGAAGGGCCGCAACCTTTGAAAGCTTTTTCAGTCTTGCTACGTCAGTCGAGTCCTCGACTGTGTACACGTAATTAGGCAGTCAACTATGCTTGCTTCTTCTATTCCCATGTGCAGTGGTCGTCATCCCTTGCATCATGCGCCGGTCCTCTCCACTCAGTCACACATGTGATATGACATTCACTCCATCGATCTTCCGATCCAGTTTCCCATATTTAGTTTAATTCCTCGTATTCAGATTTATTTATTTCGATTTAAGGGAGCCGGGCATAACCAGAAAATTTCGGACTTGAAACGAGCTTAATTCTATTTAATAACTAAATAAATTTTTAGACGATGGTATCAAATTATTAGACCGTATATAATTCTTCCACTTTAAATTATGAAATACTTTAATAAAAATAAATTTTATTAATGATGTTATTTTATTATTATTCTTTTCATGTTTTCTCTCTTTAATATTACATTATAAATGGAGTGTTAAATGTAGAAAGTCTTTGAAAGTTTATAACTATATTTTAAAAAAATAAATTATAAAATATATTTAACAAATTTTATTAATATATATAATTTTATTTAAAAGTGTTTAACGATGATAATATTTTTGTTGGAAGATATTGAAAAAGAAATATATGAAGCCAGTGTGATTTGGAAATTAAAATATGAATTTGCGAGTAGGATGCTGAGCAGTGCTCATTATTCATTCAATGGAGGGCCTAACACTGAGTGATCGCCGACCACCCCCCACGTCACGTCCCAATATCAATGCTTTCATAGTTTCATTAGCTTCACCCCAGTGCTGTGGACCCCCCTTGCTTGCCACTCCCGAGTCCCGACTGAATACCCACCCTCAATTTATTAACACCTTTTCTTGCTTATCTTGCTTCACTCCAATTCATAACCAACATTGTGTATCCGTTGCAATTTGAAAATGGGAGAATGACATCTGAAGTTTAAAACCATCAATTAATTTAAATTAAATTTTAACCATTAATTTTTAAAAATTTATAACTCAATTTTTTAATTTTATAACACTATTATCATGAATTTATAATTTATATTTTAAATTTTAACAGAAAAAATATAATTTTTTATTATTTAACCATATTAAAATTTAAAAAATAAATTATAAATTTATCACAATATAATGATAAAATTGAGAGATTGAATTATAAATTTTTAGAGTTTGATAGTTGGGATTTAACTTAAATTAATTAATCATTTTGGAGTTTTTTTATTATTCTCTCTTTGAAAATTTATCTTTTTCATTTCGATATTATTCCAAATTAAAATTACTCGTCGTTAATTATTTTAACAATCCAGAGTGTATTGTCCTCAGCTATGCAATTATTGATCTCTTGCTCGCTCTTATAATGAAGTCAATTCCATTAGTTTTTTAGGGGAAAAAAGGAGCGCTGTATTGCTACTCTCTTCTTCTACACAGTACGTGGGGATTGATGGTATATATTTTTTTGATCTTATTTATAAATATTTTAATAAATTTTATTTAAATTAAAATTTTAAAATTTATTAACTTTATCTAAAGATTCAATAATTTCTCATTCTATCTTTATCAAATATATATATTTTAATAATATATTTTTTCTCTACAACATTATATAAAAGTTAAATGAAAAAATTTGTAATGAAAATTTAATAATATAATTTATAAATATAATAAAAAAATATTATTTTTTTACTTTATCAATAGGATTAGAAGGATTGGACCCAACTCTAAATCAATCAAGCCCCTGCTTGCCGGGTAGCTCTCTTCATTCTCGGAATTGTTAATCTCATTTAACAAAATATGGATAGTAGATAAATAGTCGTGTTTGCAGGGAGAGACCGAGAGACATCACAACTAAAAAAAATTAATATTAATGACAGACATTTAGTAACGGATTGGATAATTATAAGTATTAGTGATGAAAATTTTGTTACAGACTAACATATGTCATTGATTACATAAATTTATGATGGATATAGGACATCATCACATTTTAATCAACTTTTATAAATTTAGCAACCGATTTAAATCTATCACTAATTTTTATCACTAAATTTTTATATTAGTGACAGATATTTTTAATTAAAAAAGTAATAAAATGAGCTTGAATATTTTATTAAAAAATTTATAATATACATAGAGAGATTCACATGAAAAAAATTTAAATTACCAAATTAAATAATTACACAAATAATTTTTCTATTATTACAAGTAAAATATATAATATAAAATTATATAAAACATAAAACTAATTTTTTTCTTTTATTGTGTAAATTTAAATATAAAATAAATTTTTTATCCTATAAAAATATTTTAATTATAACATAGATAATATAAAAAGGTATATAAAAATATTTATTTTGACAATATATATTATTCAGTATTAAATAATATATTTATTAACTAATAATAAATATTGAATTATATATTTATATTTGTAAATGTGTGTGTATATGATAATATATATTATCAAGATATTAATAGAAAAATATATAATATAAAATTATATAAAAAATAAAAAATAATTTTTTCTTTTATTATGTAATTTAAATATAAAATAAAATTTTTATCATGTAAAAATATTTTAATTATAACATAGATAATATAAAATGATATATAAAAATATTTATTTTGATAATGTATATTATTCAATATTAAATAATATATTTATTAACTAATAATAAATACAATTGAATTGTATATTTATATCTGTAAATGTGTATGTATATGATAATATATATTATCAACATATTTAAATAATAATATATTAAACATATAAAAATTCATTATATTTAAGTTAAATATATGTGTTCAATTAAGCAATATATATTTGCACATGAAAAATGAAAAGCCATCACAGCTCAATAAGCAAAAGGCATATATAAAAAGAGAGAAATTTTAAGTTTGACAGGAGATAACACTATATTTAAAGAGAATTAAAATAAATTATTGACATGACAGAGTGGTGAGTAATGTATAGTTGTGAGGTGGCATGACACTGATTGGACATGCCAAAAAATTTTAATTATAAAATAAAGTATGATTGAAGTTTATTAATTAGTTATAAATATTTTATATTATTAAATTGGTGACTGATTCATTTTTGTCGTTAAATTTGTGACAAAAATTAGTGATGATTGATTTGTCATTAAATTTAAAATTAATAATAAATTTATCAGTCACTAATTTTATTTTTTTCTAGTACTGCGTGAATTAATATGCTAAACCAAAATGATCACTGCAAGAAATCAATACATACCTAGAGGTTGTACCCAATCTCATGAAATAAAGATCCCCCGATCAATAGTTTATTCGTGTAAATAAAATACAAAAAATTTCACGGATAAATTTCATCAAGAGAGAATCACACTCAAAATCCTGATAAAAAATTTATTCGTAATAAAAATCAATATAAAATAAAGTGCAGTTAAAATAAAAATATGTGCATGTTTTTTCAAATGAAATTTATTATTAATCTTTATCTACAAATACTTCTTATGGTCTTATTTATAAATCACCAGAGTTAAGAAAAACATTAAATGTAACTAACTTTATTTTAAAATTTAATAAATTTTCATCTTTACTTCCTAATCAATATTTTTAAATTTTATTATTAATATTTTTATTTAAAACTTAATAAAGATAAAGATATAAAGAAGAGTATTAAAAATTAATAAATATTTTATAAATAAAATTATTTTTTTTTCCTCTCTATATCCTTTAAATAGGATGAGAAGAGTAAGTTTATGATCCTCCCTTTCTTTAATGCCCTTAGTCGAGTTTGAAAGATAATTTATTAAATCGCGTCTGTAAAGAAAAATATCTTAAAAAGTGATGGATATGCTTGGATAAGCGTGACGCAATAAGAGTTATAAATTAAAAAAATGTATCGTGGAAATGGAATACAGCCCCGACAGATGGAGCAGACGCTTGGAATCCACGGCAGCGCTGAATTTTGGTTTCTAGTGAATGTGCCTTGCAAAATGAAGGGAGTGAATTTGGGGTCCAGACTCCTCCCAGTATGGAATTTTGTTAAAAGCGCTAATTTACGTCGTTCAAATTTAGTATGGATGAATGGTTCTTATTTATTACAGTTTTTATTTTTAATTAATTATTTTAAGAGCTTTTACATATATAATTCATATTATATGACTAAATCAAATAAATAATATAATATTTATTACATTTTACATTATAATTAATTTATTATATTTGTTAATGATATATCATTATATATCAATGATAAATTCTTTATAAATTTTCAAACCTTTAAAATAATAAATTTTTTATATATCAATATGAATCAGCCACACTATTAAATTTTTAAAAATTTAGTTCATATTTTTTAGGTATAAGATTTTTTTTAGCCAATGAACTAATTTATTCTTATTTTAATAAGTACATAATTCAAAGTAAATTAGTCTTGTAAGTATTACTGTGATAAAAAATTAAATGAAAAATTACAAGTTATTAATTTTTTAAGTTTTAATTGTTAAAATCAATCTTAATTTGGCAGACTTCATAAGAACAATGACTAATGAGTACTCAACACACCTTTGGCCAAAAAAAAAAAAAAGGTACTCGACACACCCCTATGTCATCCCTCATCCTCATTTTTATGTTACAAAATGCCTTGGCATCCACTGCTATCCTTCCGTCTTCATCCTCTTCCTCCTCTCTCACAAAACCAAAGGGTCTATTCTCACGTGTCCTACCCACCACAATATATGGTTCTGCTTCACTAAGTTGCTCCATTAATTCAACAGGATAACGTGCCTCTCATTGTTTCTTTTCTGCAATGAACAGTTCGGGTTAGCTTAGTAAGCCACCGCTGCTGGGCATTTTAAATTATTCCATCATCATTTGCTGCAGCAGTATTATATTAACACAGCCATGGCACCCAAAACTCTCATCCAAGTTACCCTGCTGCTGCTTTCATTTTTACGCTGCTCTTGCGAGCCCTCTTGGAACTCAGAGAAGCGTACAGATTATGAGAACTGGATTTCCTGGAACCTCAAGAATTACCGAAAGGCGACACTTTTGAAGACCCAATGGAATGTTAAAGCGCCTGATTCGAAGCCGGGGATGGCCGGGAATAACACAGTTAAAATCAATGTTCGCCAAGACGACAGTGGTGACTTCAACACCATTAGACAAGCGCTGGACAGCATTCCGCCACGCAACATTAGGAGGGTTATCGTGTCGATCGGACCTGGTGTTTACAGGTGCGAGAGTTATAATATTAATGACCAGTATCATCTACAATAGGTGCAGATATAGTTGGAAAAGTTAAATTGAACTTTGAAATGGGGAAATAAATAGTATCTACTAACCTGGGATGACGAAAACAGGGAGAAGATCGTGATACCCAGAAATATGGAGTTCATAACATTGATAGGCGACGCTACGAAGCCGCCAACTATTACAGGGAACGATACGGCGGCCGTCATCGGAAGGGATGGGATGCCGTTCGGCACATTCCACAGTGCCACCGTTGCCGTCGATGCTAATTATTTTGTTGCCGTCAACATCAAATTTGAGGTACCCCTACTTCCTCAGAACTCGAGCTTTCAAGTAATTAATCATGCTGCATTTATACCAGAGAGACCGAGTAAAAGAAAGCAAGCCAGATTTCTTTAAAAAAAGAAGAAAAAGAAAGAAAATTGACGAGTAAGAAAAGCAAAGTGAAGAATTGATAATCAGGTTTGTTGAACTCCGTGGTGAAACAGAACACGGCGTCGCACGAGGTGGGAAAGGCGGGAGAACAAGCCGTAGCAGTTCGTGTCTCGGGGACCAAAGTTGCATTTTACAACTGCAGCTTCTATGGGGATCAAGACACCCTCTACGACCATAGAGGACTTCACTACTTCAATAATTGCTTCATCCAAGGCTCTGTTGATTTCATCTTCGGCTCCGGCAGATCCCTTTACGAGGTCCGCTTTCAGTCCCTTCTCCACTTTTTGGATGGCCTATAGCAAAGCCCAACTCCAATGTGGGCTTCGTCCTCTCTATCTTTACCTTAACCCGTAAATAATTGAACCCATTTGTTGTTAGCAAAAATAAAATAAAATAAAATAAAATAAATTGAACACATTTGACGCGCAGAACTGTTATCTAAATTCAATAGCCAAGAAGGCGGTGTCCATCACGGCTCAAAAGCGCACGAATGCGTCGTTAGAAAGCGGGTTTTCGTTTAAGAGTTGCGTGATAACGGGAAGTGGACGAGCTTATCTGGGAAGAGCGTGGGGCGATTACTCCAGAGTTGTTTTCTCTTACACCTTCATGGACAAGATTATTGTGCCCCAAGGCTGGAGTGACTGGGGTGACCAAAAGCGCGACTCGTGAGTTCATTCTTACACCACTCTCCACCTCCAAAAAAAAAAAATCGTCATTATGGCCCCCACTCTCAATATCACCATCTAAGCGCATCCCCTTTATACACGTATTATAAATGTTTGGTGCGTGTATATTGCAGGAGAGTGTATTATGGTGAATACAGGTGCAGTGGGCCTGGGGCTAACTTGACAGGAAGGGTAGCATGGGCGCACATACTCACCGACCAAGAGGCTCAGCCATTTCTTGGAACCCACTACATTGAAGGCGACACTTGGCTTGTTCCCCTCCCCAATTGATTCCCACTTTCACATGCCCTGACACTATTGTCATCAAGTTCCATTAAACCCAGTCCAATTCCCTTAATTGTCATCTCCAAATATCTGAATCTTACTATTTTAAAAAAAATGAATGAATGAAATATTATGGACCGGAAGTCATGGGTGCATGCCATGGACATAGGGGTTTAATTACTGCAATCAAAACCCGAACCTTGTGTTTCCCTGGCATCAGAGAAACCAGTCCAAGCTAAATCTACTGAATGGGTACTTAACTGCAATTAAACCAGAAAGCAGCTGCGGATTCATCATGATTTGTTAAAGTTAGTAAGATCGGCATTGAACGAGCGAATTAAACTCAACTTCTCTTTCTAAGACGAGGTTCGTTGGGTTCTTGTCATGAACTTCAACATGCACGGCTCCGAACTAATTTATGGCCAATGGCATGGCAACAGAAATTTACATATTGCCTCATCTAGGAGGTGAGATTTACACAAAACTAACGGGGAGACGCTCAAAAATAGTTATTGAAACAAGAAGAAGAAGAACACCAGCAAAATGGAGATGGAAAATAGCCAGAACATAGGGAGGGATCAGGGAGAGGCAGAAATGAGGAGGGGAGAGTCTGGAGCTTTAAAGAGATCGAGGCGAGCGTGTTGGAGGGCGAGAGAGTAGGCGGCCTGCTTGTACTGAGCCCAGGTGAAGGGCTTGTACAGAGGCCGCTGGTGTGGGGACAGCAACACGGGGAGGGGAGTGATCCAGGAATTCAGTGCGGGCGCTCCAAAGAATATCATGGACATTCTGGACTTGCTCCCGCTCGTCACCGCTCTGTGCCTCACGCTTCTAAATCTCCCATTCGTCAATGCCTTGCATGGTTCCAGAAACCAACAAGTGTCAATCGGGGGAACATGGAAAGAAATAAATTAAAAGAGATTTTGGGTATTGATGAGGAAACCTGGAGGGAATCGCCGACCATGACGACGAATTCGAACGGGTCGGGGGGGACGGGGATCCAGAGGCCGTCTTGGGTGGAGATCTGCAGGCCGCTGACGTCGTTGGAGCGGAGGACGGTGAGGATCTGAGGGTCAGAGTGTTCCCCAAAGCCGATGCTATTAGTGGCCACCACTTCATCATGGCACGGGTCAGTGGCAGGGTAGTGATTCAGCCTCAGCACCGAGTCACTGTGCGCGTCCCTGATTAGCCTGCTGATCGCCATCTTGTCCGGAATCCTCAATCCCTCCGCCACTAGCTCCAGTATCTCACACGCCACTTCCCTTGCCGCTTCTATGTACTCATTCACCGCACAACTGCAACGCCATGCATTACGTACCCCTCTTTAGTTTCTCATTGCCTAAGCCTACGTCTGCCCGTATAATTGACCATGATTCGACCCAGCGTCGACTGATAACAAAATTGATGTCCCCCCCCCCCCTTTTTAATCCAACGACACGGGATAACCATACAAAAAAGATTAAAATTCAGTTATATTTAAAGTCATGTGACTTATGCAATTAAGGACGAGTTGTCAAAAATAAATATATCACAGTCTTCATAAGATATTTTATGAGCTAGAAAAGTTGTGCATTTGTTGTTTCTTTTATGCCCGGTTTTGAAATAAACGTGGCCCTCAGGTTTTATTTGTCCGCTTTTCCTTTTAAAAGCTTTCAGCGCTTTATGTTATAAATAGATTGACCCGAGACAAACTGTAGTGGGGAACCACCACCGTTTGGCCCTTGTCCCCACGTTACCAAAACCGTTCAGGATCGCACACACAATGCCATGCAAGTTTCAAAAAAGGGCTACTACTTCTATGGCTATACTTTTCCCATCCCATCCCAGCAAGACCAGCTCATCTCTTGTCATGTTAAAGTCTCAGACACTGCCATGCAGTAGAGTGAGCTGTTCGGTTTGGACCATTTTATTTAGTGGGAACTGCACATGTTCCTTCATTTCTACATACCTCTTCGTCTCCACTATCCTCATTTCGTTGAAACAAAATACACCCGTAGTAACCCAACTTCCCCTTCCGCCCTAAGATTCGTCCCCCATCAAGCAAGTATTCTTTCAATTGATGCGGTGTTGTTAATCTCACAAATGAAAGGTGTCCTTTTCTTGAATGCCGTTTGCAATTAAGCGGGCATCACCGAATTAATTAATATCATACAGGCAAAAAATTGTTATGAAGTTTCTTTGTTTGTGGACCCGCTGTCGTTAACTCCAACTGCTTCGCGATTTACTCCTTTTGAAACGTTCTTATAATCAGAAAATCAATACAACATTTATTACATTTGTTAAACTCGATTAAATAATGATCAGCATTATTCCACACGTACTCCGCCAGCCTGCCCGGCCCTTAAAAAACAAAACAAACAAACAGGAGGCCTTTTTTCCCCGGGCATAGAGAAAGTATCGCGCATATACATAAGTCGTGAAAGATTTAAGGTTGTAGAGTATAGAATAGTGAAGTCTAGCTATAACTGGCAGGCCACTTGATGCTCACTAGAAAATGAAGTATTACCTGAATTTGGCAGGGTCTTTTGAGGAGATAGTTTTGGAAACCTGAGAAATGGATTGAGGATCGGTATGGAGAAGAAGATACTCGAGCTCGCCCACATCGCCGTGGGAACCAATGTTCCTGGAACCGTAGCCGAACGGAGCGGCGGGGCTGGCTAGCAGCTTCTCGGAGACGGGTTGGGAGAAGAACCGATTGCCTTCCTCTTCCAATCTCAAGAGGACCCGCTTAGGCACCCTATGGTTGACCACCTTGAAGATTCCATATTGCTCGCAGGCTCTCACCGCCAGTTCCGATAACTCAGACCTTTGCATCGAAAGGTCGATGGTGGGAATCCCAACGGCCGATGTTTTCTTGGTTCGAACGGAAGGTACAAACATGTCTGCAATCAATATGTATGTATGTATCCGAGTTGATATAGAGAGGAAGAGAAACGGAGGGATGTGTTATGGGTGTGAGAAGGTGCGGCAAGGGATATATATATATATATATAATATATAATGGAGGAGAGCGGGATATATATTGGTAAAAAGGAGAAAAGTGACGGGGCATGGTAAATAGTAATTAATAAAGAAATAGTTTATAGGAGGAGCATGATAATAAAAGAGGCGTGGACGTTGGTAGCGAAGAGGGTGTCCGAAACAGGAGAGAAGGGGTGGGGAAATGAGTGTGCATGCATGAAGTGACACGGGGATGGATAGAAAAAGAAGGAATGTCAATTGCGATATGGCCCTCTGCCCTGCACGTTGGGCGCCACAGCCAACCCGTGAAAATCAAAATGAACTCACTTCTTGAATCTCCAAGTATTGTGCGCCAGTGTTGTGTAGCAGCAATACTTAAGACGATGGATGTTCCATAACCACGCGCCTCCCTACGTCCGTCACATTCTCCCCTCGCACCGCTTTGCCACAGCGCGTTTTGCTCCTTCTCCCTCGGCCCCCGCGTCTAAGTTTCGGTGTAAGTTTTGACTTTCTCCCACATCTGACTCACCCGCTCTGCCATCTTGGCCTTTTTCTTTGAAATATGAATATAAACGAATGAACAGTAGCATGGACTATTAGAGTTCCTTAATTGAATGAATCGGGCATGATGTGATTTAGGGGTTGCTAGCATGTTGAGAAGCTGTGATGATAAGAAATGCGGTCAAGAACTGGAGCAGTGTAGGTGTTCACGGCAGGTCAGGAGTGGGCACACCCGTTTTGAGATTCAGAGAATGTGTTCGCAAACCATACGAAGCTGGGGATCCGATCGTTGTGGAATTGCAGACGACACCATGTCGGATATCCTTTTCTCGCGGACGCCTCTTGTTTAGACATGTTCCCCGCCCACATTCACCACTTGAATTCGCCTGTTCTGCTTAACAAATAATGATATAATTGCGGTTACGAGGACGTTAATATTATTATAATTATTCTCGCTCCATTAATTAACTATTCCCTGTCATTCCGTGGACACCGTTGTCAGTGGGAGTGTCGTGTCGCCGTTAATAATTAATGATTTGGGTTGACACCTGACAGCGCTATTGGTCCTCTCCAGTTTTTTCTTCTCTTTTCACCCAGCCATTCATTTTCCGCCCCTTTTCTTTGAAAAACGAAAGGATCTTGGTAACAAGAAGTCTGTTGTTTTTGACTTTTCTCGTGGATGATGATAGTTAAGAAACCAACAAGAGGTATAGGTACACGAAATTTAGAGTGTTTTTGGATTAGTTTTTAACTGAAGTTAGAATGAGCTAATTAAGATTAAAATGAGCTAATTAAAAAAGTCAAAAAAAAATTGGATGAGCAAAATATTCCAACCTCAGTTAAGTTTTGAATGAGCTTTTTCTCCAAAGCCACCAGACATGGCTTCGGTATTAATGTTAGCATCAGTGTTGCTTACACAGTCGCACTCAAGTCTCAGTCTCTACTCTCTCCACCCCTCACACAGTTGCAGCCTAGTCCTCACTCATCACTCACTCTCTAGACGACTCTAATGCAACCTCTAGGTGAATCGAAAACCTTTCCCTCTTGTCTCATGCTGTCACTCAGTTCTCACGTTGTCAACTGTCACCCAGCTTGCCTACCATTGCCCTTCACCCAACTCAATCTCTCCATTCTAACTTCCTTCTTGTTCACTTGAATCACTTCAATGGTGACCGATGATGAAAGAGACAAAAATCATAAGCCTTTTATGCCATCTCTGCCTTCTTTCTCGTTTGTATCCGGCGACCATGACAATGTTAGAATCCTCCCACTCTTGCTCTATCCGAGCAACTATTGATGTTCGTGTAGTGTGTGTGTGTGTGTGTGTGTGTTCTCCAATCTGCTCTGTTTTGCTCTTCCATGCGTTCTCCAATCTTTGTCCATGTAGTCATACATGTTCAGGCCTCTGTTTAAAGTCATGCGTGCTTTTCCTTGCTCTACTCTGTTTTGCTCTTTCATGCGTTCTCTGATCTTCCCTACTCTTCCCAATCTTTGTTCGATCTTTGCACTCTTGATCTCTCTCCCATGGAGTCATGGTTGTCGCTTATAGCATGGTTCAGGCTCACCACACTAGTCACCCTCGCGGCCTCACCCCTTGGCCTCAACCTTCCTCTTCTTCTTCGAGTTCGAGTACTCTCTTACTCTTACTCACGGTCATAAACTCAGGGCTCAGCAGTGGCAGTCACCCTTACCCCTTAGCCTTCCCTTCTTCTTCTTCTTCCACCCAGCTTTCTCATCTCCTACTGTGTGTGTTGTTGTCATCCCTTCCCCTTTTATGTTGCTTTTCTCTCTTCATTATCTCCAGTATAGTCTCGGTCTCTCTCTCAAGAAGTCACGATCTCTCTCTTCATTGTCTCCATCTTCAACAAATTTTTTTAGTTTTTCATAATTAAATATTTTAATTTTTTATTAGATAATATTATATAGTTAGAATTGAATTTTTTATTACATATTTTTAAAAATATTAATATTTTTTAGTTATTAATTATAATTTTAAGTTTAATATTTTTTACTTTTTAATTAGTAACAAAAATATAAATAAAAAAATTTAGGTTTATTTTTATCATTAAATATCTCCACTGACTTCTACATTAAATCATCTAAATAAATTTCAATTTATCTCACTGACTTCTGAAAAAAAGATATCCAAATATAAATTATGTTACATTTACTGACTCTTTTTAACCTCGGTTTGCTAATTTCAATTGAATCTTAACTTTAGTTATAATTTTTTTAATCTAAACACACACTTAATTTGACAGCCACCTGGCCGAGACACCACTAAACTTATGGTTTGTGCCAAGAATACATTGGATACAAAAATGGGTAAAATAACATAGTCCTTCCATCCTAAATTATGGAACATTTTTAAAAAAATTTCTTCATCCTAAAATATAACACACTTTGAATAGATTAAGGTTTCATTAAATGCATCAATTTCAATATTACCCTTTTTATCTCTAATTAATTTTTATCTATTCTTTTTTTAATATATTAAATGATGGTTATTTTTGAAAGTTTATATTTTTATTTTGAAAAGATAAGTTGTTAAGTGTATTTAATGAGATTTATTGATATATGAAATTTTATCTAAAAATGTATTATAATTTGAGATGGAGGGAATACTATTTTTTAAGAATATCCGATAACTTAAACTATCAAATAGTGCAAAATAAATTATAAATTTTAAAAAATGAATCATCCAATAGTTCACCATTAACTTCAATTGATTAATGTTATGTGGGGCCTGTAATGACACGTGGCACTTTACATTAGCATATGTGAAGATGAAAATTTAGCTAAGAATTATTTTTCGAGGAGCGCTGGGGCTCTATTATAAAAAGCAAATTATTTAACACCTTCTCACCAATTTTGATCAAACATTATTTTTTTTAAAACCCACAATGCATCAATCTCTCCAATTTTTCTGCCTTTATTCTCAGTTTTAGCTAACAATGACAACAAAGTAGAATAAATAATTCGTTGCTAAATTAATCTAGAATCAAGTTTCTCCCATGTATAATAAAATTAAGCTTTTACTTCCTTGTCATTGTCCTCTTAAATGCCTTTAGATAAAAATTCTTTGAACCTCTTCTCCTCGTGCTGAGGTTGAGAATGAAGGCAAGAAGATTTAAGAGATTAACTCATCGTAGGTCATATAAGTATGAAATTAAATGACATTTAGTTAAAATTAATAGAATTGCGTTGAATCGTTCATTTTTTATATATAATAAAGGTCACCCAATACTTTTTGAAAAATAATTTGTAGTTAAATTTGCACCTTTATACATGCTGACGTGGAGTGTCATGTGTCATTGTGAGTCTTGCATAATGTTCGCATACTAAAGTTAACGATAGGCTATTAGATATTTTGTTTTTAAAAATTTATAATTTATTTCATACCATCTAATAATTTAGGCTACTAAGTATTCTTAAACAAATAATATGTAACCAGATTTATACTTTTACCCTACGAAAACTTATTGATCGGGTCACGCGTCTGTGAATGCAACCCGCAGGCCACACCATGGCCGTAGGTGTCAACTATGTACGCCACATTTCGTTTTCTTTTTTTTTTTAAATGGAAAATAGGATCTATTAATCGAAAGATCAAAACAAATGTACAAAAAATCAAGACGTGACATCCTTTCATCTTCGACCGCACTTCACTTTCAATTCATATCCAATTTCATATGTTTGTAATACTTTGAGGTTTACATGATATTGCATCTCAATAGTTACGGGTGAATTTATTCTATTCATTCAACGAGAATTTCAATTGTAATTATTAAATTTTATCCATACTTAAAACTTATTAAAATATATTTTTTTTCAAAAATTTTACAACAATCCTTGCAATGAAAACACTCATCACAAATGATGCCCCTCTAAAAATATAATATTCAATACTTTTTAAATATTATATGATAAAATCTTTTATAATTGTTTGATTAAATTAAAAAATTATTATTGCATAATATAACCCACTCATTGAGTGAGTGGACTTAGATTACTTACTGGATCCAGGTTTGATTATGGATACACTTGCGTGCAGTGAATAAATTAAGAAAGTTAATAAATGACCTCAAGTTTATAAAAATATAATGATATTTTTAACCATATTTATCATAACGCCACCCAAGGGTGAAAATCATAAAAAGATATTGCATCCTCATTTCTTGAAAAGGTGGAATAACGGAAGTATTCTACAATTATACATATATTCTACGTTGAACATTTTTTAAATTAATATTTTCTAATATATAAAAATAATATGAGTTCACAATATTGTTTTATTGTTCACGTGTATATATCATCCTATTGAAAATAATTTTATTCAAAAATATGACTGTCTACTAAAGTTTCATTTGATTATAAAAAGAGAATGGAATGATTTGAAAAAATCCAATAAAATGAACAAAATTTTTTTTTTTCATGGTAAATAAGATAAAACTCATTAATATATATTATAAATGTAAAAATTATCAAACCTTTAAAAAATTTTATAAATTATGATTCTCAATTTTATAAATTAAATTACCTATAT